TCCACTGTCGCTGATTGGCTTGGCCTTGGCCAGAGACGGACACAGGGAAAACTTCTAGCAGCTTCTCACAGAAGCCACCCCTGTAGCCCCCCCACTATCAAGACCTTGCCACAGAAACCCATACACAGTTGAATGACTTTCCCTTGACTGATGATAGTTCTTTTGGTTCTGCTTATCAGAGACAAATAATTGATTTTCTTCCAGTTCCTTTATTATCACTTTTTACATTCTTATGAAGAAGGGAGACTAGTGAATTGGAGTGTTATTTACTTATGATGAAACAAAGACTAATAATATTGTACCACCATTGACGGCTTATTCTGCTTTGCTGACATAGAAGAAATCAATGATAGTTTGAAGGATAGTTCTCCCTCCTCTTGCTTAGCACTTCAGTCCCCAGGTACTTTGATCTTCAGCTAGCCCTAGGAGATATCATGCTGCTGCTGCTGTGCAAAGTGGTGGTGGATGTAGCAGGACAACTTATTCCTTCAATTCCATGATGTTTTATTTATAGAAGATCAGTAGATATGGATCAGGAAAAAAATTAATAAAGGTTTTAGGCAACAGCAATAAAAGTCTTCACAGAATTAATTTAACAGCAGTTTGGTAGCAAGAAAATGTGAGAGCCACCAGCAGCTGCACACTGATATTTGTGGAAGCTAACAGCTGCCCAGAGAGAATTGAGAGTGCTAATCAAGGCCTTAAGCATTCACAAATACTGAATTGTTGATATATGTCTCATAAATCAAAAGATGGACTAACCCCCCCCGGGTTTTCATTAATTAATCCGGTGGTTTAGGGACTGATCTTTGCATTTTCATTGAATCACAAGATATTCGGGTTGAGAATATTGTAAGAACTCATTTCTTACTGGGTTTAGGGCTTTTGTAATCCTCACCTGACCTCTAGTGTCTTGCCTCCTGTTACATTCAGCTAATAACTTTCCTATGTTCCTCTTGTGATAAATAAATAAACTGAAACTTTCATTCAGTTTTCAGTGTTGGCTTGCTGTCTTCATTAAATGCAAGATAAACCTATGCTACTTCTGCCTTGATGGGAAAACAAAAATTGACATCCTAAATATTCAAGCTCAATTTGCAATACTTCCTGTCTAGACAAAAACTAGTGTATTCCCAGCTGTGTTAAATAAAGGACTGAAACAAATTGCTCTGTTTAATAAGTAGATGGTTTGCTTCAGCTGGCAGTACTCTTCCTCCACTTCCTGAAGACCTGCTCCAACACAGCTCTCTTTAATGCTCTTTGAGATCTGAAGAGTCCCTGTTCCCCACACAGGCATGGCAGTCACCTTCCTCATCTGTGGCGCAAAGGTGTAGGCAGATGCTGGGTCAACACAGCCTGAATGGCAGGAGACAGAGTGCTTGTGCCAGTGTTGGTGCTGTTGTCCTGCTTACTGTGAAATTACAGCCAAGTGGAGATGTTTGTATTTCACGCTGCCTGTTCTGATATACCCAGTGCTTTTATTTTTAGCACCTGTTTGTGGAAACCAACCCCTCCTCTCATTTTCCAATATCAAGGCAGTAATTCCCCAACCTGTTATGTTAATGCTAATGCTGTGTTTTGCCCACGGTTTATTGTTCTGTGAAGTTTCATTGTTGTTTTTGATACTGATAGCCTAGTTCAAATGTATGCTGATGATCATAGGTTAGTTAAGACTAAGTTTAATACTATCAGTGAAAACAGTATTATTTGAATGCATCAAAACTGGCTATTTTTTCTTGGGGATTTTTTTTTTCTCTTATCTGGTAATATTTGTTTCTGTGTCTGTGGTCAAAAGAACTTGTAAATAAATGGAAACACTAGCAAATCATAGAAGCCCTCCTTGATGTTATTCAAAAGTAGCTCTTCTTTTTTACAGGAAAGTCGAGTGTTAAGGACAGTACCTTTGCTAGCAGCTTGTCTCCCTCCAGAGAAATGTAAAATTTTGGTTGGTCGACGTTTTAGTGAAGACAGGTGAGTGGGATTGTCTGTGCATTTTCTGGTCCTTTGTAAACTGTGGAGCTATTTTTTTCAGTGTCTTTATTACTAGCCAACAGTGTGCTTAATTTCTATTTCAAGTGTGTGTATTCACTTTTGCTATAAAATTCTGATACCCAGTGAAGATAAATTATGTATAATAGCCAGAAATGCTTGATGTATCTCCCTCTAGGCTGTAGCTTTTACTGTCTCAGTTTTGTGCTCTTGGAAAGTTCAGGTGGTTACTCTGCAACGCTTAGATTTTTGCAGTTCTGTTCTTACCTGGTACTAGGTTTGTCTTGCTGTTCTCTATGGTTCTTTTCATATTTGCTTTGTCTGACAAACCATTTGTTGTTACTGAAATATAAGTAACGGTTTTCACTTGTGTGTGTGAGATTGTACTTGAGAAGGGAGTCCAGTGGTGACAAACTCTTAGAGAATGTATTTTTTTCAAATCCTTTCATCTTTTTCTTAGAATTAATAATAGGAAAGCATAGTTTTCAGAATTTTTATTTTTTTTTTTTTTATTATTCTGAGACCTTGGACAATATTGGTCTCCCATGTAATGTCTTTAATCTTTATTAGAGGAAGCTAAGTCTTAGAAACCAGTTCTTGGTACAAATGCCAATGAAATTTTACTGCATAAATTTTCAATAAAATCAAATAAAAATCATGAATACTGATGAAGGAAACTAGTTTTAAAATTGAGTTTAATCTTTGGAGAAAACTTTTTGTAGAGTTCAGTGAACAAAAATGTCGAAAGGTGATTCAGAATGGTGCTCCCACACCTTTGTGCTGCTTGTATAGTAGCTAGAGCATATTAGAAATACATTGCTTTTCTATTAGTCTTCTATGATAATAACTATAATAATTATCCGAGAAGTTCCAGGCTACAGGGAGATTGTACTGTCTTCCCATTAAACCTGAAAATGAAGCAACTTTTCATACTGATGTGCACAGGGTGGAACACTATCAATACAGTCTGCTTCTAGTAAAACTTGTAGAATTTTTTTCAGAAGTGATGATTACAGTATTAAAGTTTCTTCACGTTTGAATCCAGAGATATTTCTTCTAACCTAGAGGATCCTCTTTAGGTCAAAACCAGTTGTGGAACATCTCGGCCTGAAAATAGTTTAAATAGATTCATAATTACCTATTTCCTATGGGTTTTTTTGTCATAAAACATACTGGAGTTGGTGAAAGAAATGAAAGTTTTCCTTAGATTAATATGAATTTTGGTGATCTGACTTACACAGATGCAGGGCTAAAAGTAATTAGATAGTAGTCACAGCTCCACCCTAAGTATCTGCTGTATGCCTGCTTTGTAAAGTGGATGTAAGTGAGGCTGTGGAAATCAGGAGTGCTCAGCCATGGAATTCCTTCCCACCTTCCTGGAAGGAGGAAGAATAAGAAAGGGAGAAAAGTTGTTTTTTCAGCCTTGTAGTGTGTTATTTCTTCTTTTTTTTTTTTTTTTTCCTTATCTGTATATGCATTCTTACGAGTTTTAATCCATATTCCTTATTTGTAACTAGCACTCAGTACTTGAATAGCTGGCTAGAGAATCATATCATTATTTTGGACTTCTAGCATCCTTTCACGCTATAAACTGGTTAGATGTGCTCAGAGAGCTCACATTAATCACCTGGAATGACTTAAGTTCCTTCTCTGTTGTGCTATGATCCAGGAACAGGCATCTGCAGATGGTGGTAGAAAAATCTCAGTGTCTGCCATGAGTGGGGAGGGCTGTACTGGTTCTTGCCCTGTTCTTAGGGTGCAAATCTCTGTTAACGGGACTTTTAAAACCTCATAAATTGCAGTGGTTCAGTTCATGTTTTATGACATATTAAACTACACAGGGCTTGGGTTCTTTCTGGTTTTCTTAAAAGCCACGCTGTCTGTAAGCAATTTGGTAGCTGCTGTACAAGCAACTTAATCAACCCTGCCCCATGTTGGGGGAAGACTTCTTTGTTACTTTGAAGAAAAAGATTATTAAAAAGTGCTTGCTGATACATTATATACGTATCATTGTTTTGAAGCGCATTAAGGCCATACCTTTTCTTTTTTTGAAGTTTTGAGATACTATTTATGTCCTTTGCAGCTTCCACCAGAAGTGGATGGGTTAGAAGGGGATAGAAACCTTATAACTCTAAATGTATGCTTGCATTGATCTTGCACGTGAACAGTGCCTGCAGGTGAAGGGGTAATGTGGTGCACACATTCTTTTCCGCATATATATATAAGCCCTACCATGCAGCAGACCTGGGAAAGTGATGTCCTTGGTGGTTGCCCATATATTTGTAAATTATCAGAATAGAATGGTAGTGGGCGTATTTGTATTATCACAGGATCCAGCAGCTCCTGGCAACAGCTCTGAAAGCTTAGAACACTTCAAGGCAGCCTTTGGGAACATAAATAATTGTCATTATGGATTTGAGTGAAAATTAAGCCATACACAGCAGCTGATTTTTATTTTTTTTTTTTTAAAGTCTCCATCACAATAGGTTTAGTAGCGGCATAGCAACCAGCAAACTGACAGTTGTTAATCTGTAGCTGTCAGAAGAGGTCTGCTTTCAGGTGAGAACAAACATGCTACCTGTGCTGAGTAGCTCTTTCAGTCTTCAGTGCCGCTCTCTTGAAGGAGAAGGCAAATTTCTTACCCAAGTGTGTGTAGGTTATTTTTCTTCATTTGTCCTAGCACTACAAAATTACATTTTTCCTATGCTTTGTAATCAGCATCTAAAATTAGTGAGATGCACAGAGGGATTTAATAAGGAACTCAACATCGAACTAGGTAACATTTAGGCCTCTGATGTTTATGACAGTAAGACTGAAAATCACGATTTTTTTTTTTTTTTACTTGTGTTTGGCTGAAAAAGTAAACATAAAGCACTTTTTTTTTAGCATTTCCTCTACTCAGTTCCACCTTCTTGAGTCACCCTTTCTTGTGGTTGAAAACTGATATGCAAATTATGTAGATCATATGTACCTTATTCTTGATTGATCTATATTGCAGAAAATTAGAACTCTTTCCAGAAGTAAACAGCTAATCAAAGGTTTTTGAAGTCAATATCCTCAATGTGTAACTGACACAGTAATGGTAAAGTGAGAAATGATTAATCTAATTGTTTTTAAGTGGTAATTTGTGATTTTTTTTCCCGGTCTTGCCCATTCTTCCTGCAATCTGGCATTTTAATTCTACTGAAGGTATGTAATGCTTGCATGGTGGCTTGACTCATCAGATGGCATTTCTGAATTGAAAGACCAGTTCTGTTGATTATCTGTGTTTTTTTCCCAAAGTACTTAAAGACCTTAACTTATGACCTTCTTTGTATTGATTACATTATTGTCAGATATTAGGGTAATCTTTGTGCTAAAATGATTAAGCTAAAAGTGAGTAGTTTGGCATGAGGACTTACTGAACAGTTGTATTGTAAAAATAGCACTTTGGTGAATTGTTAGTGTTTTTACTCTTCAATTATTTTTATAGATTTACAATGAACCCAGTATCATAGCAGTGTGGCAGGCAGGGGTATGGGAGAGTGGGTTTAGCATCACTGCCAGATGGGAAATTTAATTTTATATAAAAGTGTAAAATACTTCTTTGTGTGTACCTTGTTAGTATAGATGCTGAGCCTGTTAAATGTAGGCACCTTCTAGACATTGGCTAGAAGGACAACATAAGCAAGCAGAGGGCTCAAATCACTTGTACTGAAATTTTCAAACCTTATGCAAAGCAAGCTTCCTTACTTGCGTGAGGTCAGGCTGATTCCATGGTAACTGGAGTTTTCACTTCTGACTTTGTGAAGTGAACATGTATTGTGTAGCGGATGCTGAAAAATTGTCTGACCAAAACAGTGTGGTAGGACTCTGGTTAATTTCTAAACTGACAGTAGGTTCAGTTACTTCTATTAACTTCTGTTGGAAAGCTGTTGGTTTTGTGGTGCAAAACACAGGAGTATATAGAATGATTATAACCTTTACAAAACATGTTTTACCAATAAGTTTTACTAGAGACTTTTCTAACAGCTGGTACCTTAGATTTTTGAACTTGAAAGGAAAATGTGCAAGTTAGTTTATACTGGTATCTCAGTATATTTTTATCCTGTATTTGTGGAACAAATGGGTTTTTAACTGTTTGTAATAATTTTAACGTGTGTAACAATCACCTTAATTAGAAATGGTAGGAGAATGTTTATATGCATTTTTTTACCATTGTATCCATTTTGTTTTGTTCCCCTCTCTTTGAAACACTGCTTTTCTCATGACTGTAGTTGCTGTCTGCTTCATGTCTTTTTTTTTTTTTTTTAATAATGTTTTTTTTGTACTGGCAGCTTATGCCACTGATATTGCTCCTTTTCTGCCTGTCAGCATTCATGTGTGCATAACTTAAGCATAATTTCCCTTTGCTTTTCCCCTGCCATCTTTGGTATGTTCTCTTGTTAGAAATTACAGATGTCTTTTGTCTTTTTTCCATTTTTTGCTTAAGTCATAGCACAAATCCAGATAGCATTTCCTATTTTTTTCCCTCTTAGAGTATTGTTTCAGCTGATTATTTTACAAATCCCATACTGTTTTCATTTGCTACCACTTATCCAAGCCCTTCATGTTTGACTTAAGATTTCTAGGTCTCCCTTAGTTGAAGGCATCTCAGATTCTGCAGCATTTGTTAGGATATCTTCTGCTTCATAGTTCTTGATAAAAACCTATTTTTATTAAATCAGTATCTCTTCCTTTCTTCTAGCTTAAGTATTTCAACTAGTGACATTTTGTCTTCTAATTTCTCTTGGCCTTGCCTCATCTCCTCTATTACCCATCTTTCAAAACTTCATTTTAATCCTTGGTCGTCTTCTACATTTTTATATTCTCATACTGTTTACTTTCTGTCCCGCTATCATAATTTTGGCTTCAGAATGCTGTTCTATGTATTGGTTTCATAGAAGCCTACTTCTTTTCTCTGCATTTGATTTTTACTGATGATCTACAGATATGTGATCATA